ATTTATTAGCATGTTTATTTCTGAGAAATGTTGACTGAACTATCTAAGGATGTGTGCCACAATGGAAGTATGAATTCAATTAATGTCTGGCAAAAGAACAATTTTAAATTTGATGCAACGACACATGCACTTAATTGAAATTTTTTGAGGATTCAGTAAAAAAAAACGTTCATGTCGTACATCTACTTAAAAATGTTTGCAACTGAGTCTCATCTTTATCCTCACACATAGATTCTCTTCATCATGCATGTATAGTTATCTAAATAAAAAAAGAAGTGAATGAATGTGGCATAATATTCCTCAGTATTTTTATTCATTCCTTCCTTCTCTGCCATGCTCTCATTTATTCTTTTTGACAAGTGAAAAGGAAAATTGAAATTAAACATGAGGAAAGGAAAGAGTTGAAATTATTTGATGTGGAAAAATAATTTCTCTCTTTTCATATTCACATTTTGATGCTGGAAATAAAGGGTAAAGGAATTATTGTATAAGTGGCATGTTGAAGGCATTTAAAGGTAATTAAACATTGGTTAAATTATGCATGCTCACAGAGAGAGAAAAAATCTCAGGTATCAGTTTTGAAATATAAATCAAGGAAATGACTGAACAATTATTTTTGAATTATTTCTTTAAGTCTTAAAGGGTCGTTCATAAATAATGTTTAATATGAGAATGGATGGTATTGCATTTGGGTAATTGACAAACGGTAGTCAGTGATAAATCCAGCTTCAGGCGACATCTAAGGAAGGGCTTCCCAGGGATCACAATTGATCTCTACGGTCAGAGAAGTAAGGAAGTAAGTAATATGAGGGTGGGGTCTCGCCGTCGTGCGACACTTTATTACAAAAAATAAAACTTAAGGATGGTTGAGATCCAGAATTATAGCTAGTTTTTCCAAGCTCGAGGAATGTATCATCTCAACAAAAATTTTAAATTTTCGAACGTCGTCATTTATAAACAACCCTTAAGCTTTGAGAGGTTAAAAAATTCTTAAAATTATTTACATTGTTTTTTTTTTGACAAGCATATACAATTTCTTGTGGATTTTTAAGAAAACCGCTTTACTTCTCACCTTCAAGATGTTTGAAATTTCACACCTTAGCTCTGCCTAAAGCAGTTTTTTGTTACTTTTTTGTTGCTCATTAAATGAAGTTATAATTAGAATTGTATGGGATCATTTGCCATGATGATTTTAATGACGGCTTTCTCTAGTGCAATATTATGATTGCTTCTACAAAAATATCCCTTTTTCGAGAAATGATTAAAAGAAAATATTTCTCTGTATGATGTCTAAGTTATTTCACAAGGATCACATCCATAAGCATTACTAAGTAAGAAAATGAAAATGTTTATTTTTCCTTTACTTAATTCTGCATGAGTACTCTTCTTGATGAAATACGGACACACGAGAAGATGCTGACGACGTCAAAGACGATGATGGGTATGTGGATCATCATGTAAAATTTATGAGGTACGAAAAATACTTCAAATAAGTTTGAGTTTTTCTTATTTTTACCTTTCCTTTACTGCTTTGTCGTCCACAAATTCATGAACTCTCTTGAATTTTATTACTCGATGCTTTGCTTTTAAGATTCATTTCTATGCGGTTCTTAAATTTCTTGTCATCAACTTTTTCTTCTTATTTTGTAGAAATTGCTTTGCTTGCGATTTCATTTTTTTTCCCTATCGGAAAGGGGAGCAAAAAAGAGCTTGAAGAGATGTTGAAATGACGTGACTATTTTTCCGCTCACATACGTCCTGGAGTACACATAGAGCTATGTGCTGAGAAGCAATGAAAATATCTCAGTGAGGAAGCGATAAATCTAGTGGAAAAAATTTTTCAACCTTCAGCTCATTCAGTTTCCTACTTTTTCACCACTCATTTCATTCTACTAGCACTAGAATAAGTCTGTATTATAGATGGATAGAGCTGGGGAGAGAATTTGAGTTTTAATGTAAATACAATCATTACTGAGCAAAAGATATATTTGAATTTGATTTGATTCTCGTTCTTCTACTTGATGCTTTTCACTAGAGACGGGGGAAAGGGCTTCAGTCGGTTCCAAAAAATTATTAAAAATCTCATAAAAAGAAATTCTAAAATCATTTTAGGGCAAACTTAATTCCATGCATGAGGTCTACATCTTCCTTAAACCTTTAAACTCCTTATACTTTGGCATACACAAATATTAGTGTTTTCTCAAAAGCCACAATGCTCACGTCTACCAACTATATTATATGTTCATCCTGGAAAAAGTACGTGAAATATATAAAAAAAAATACTTTTCTTAAGGAAAAACTTTTCAAATGAAATTTTTATGTTTCTTTTAGCGTTTTAAAGTTTTTTTTCCTTTCGCTCATTTTTTGAATAAGGAAAAAAATTTGCTTCTCTTCTTTTTTCAGCACTCCGACATAAAGTGGAGCAAGGTGACGTTATGAAATTTTTATTAAGATACATGAAAGAAATTCTTTTTTTTTTGCTCCCCCTTTTATTTTAAAGAAAACTTTTTGTAATGAATGAATTTCATTTTGTTGCGAAACTGATGATGAAAGAGGGAAAAATTTTCAGTTATTATCGTTTGTCATAATTATAAAAAGTGAACAAATTCTTGCGCTTGAGAATTGATGGAAAATTTCTAGGAAAATTCTGAATGGAAAAGTTTTTAGTTGAAGTTTTATATTGCTTATTAAGTTATTTTCATCGTTATTCCATTTATTATTCAGAAGATAGCCAGAATTTTTTGAGGAACGGGAGGGCGAGTTTAGGATTGTTCTCTTCCTTATTTACCTCGCTGGTCGTACAGATCAATTGTAATCCATGACCTCTCTTAGTAAACGCCTACAACTAGCTCTATCACTGGCTTGCGTCTACCAATTTCCAATACCAAGTGCTATACTGTCTCTATCAACAGTTTCTTTCCACGAGTTCTTTGGCCGCTTACGTGAATCATGGGATTGTTCTCAATAAACTTTATTGTATCAAATAAGTTTTCCCAATAAGAAGGTTTTGAGCGGCATAAAAAGAACTTTAGCTATTCAGATCAATTTGGATTTAGAGGTACGCTAGGGAGTTTTGAAGCTAATGAGAGTTAAACTAGTGAAGATACTCTAAACTGTACTAAAGGGGGGGGGGGGGGGGGGTTCAAAAATCAACCAAATTACTGATCCTATCAACATGGCTGACTTATCAAAATTCAAGGTTGACCCCAGCCACATTTCCCCCTCTGACTTCACCCTTGTCAATTTTGCTAACCGAAAAAAAATTAAATTCCAGCTCTTAATCTTAACAGCATCTTTATAATCCCCAAAAATGGCATCATTGTGACATTTTCTCCCAAATTACTTTCATTTTCCTGTTCCTGCTGTTCCCAAAATCACTTTTATTTCCCTTTTATTACATACTAAGGATGTTAGAAACAAGAAGAATTCACATAAAAGCTAATAAACACGCCCATCAGATCAGCTTGCATTGTAAAAGAATTTTATTAATATTTTCAGCTCACTCTGAGATTGTTAATTCCTTTATCCTTTGTAAGGTTTCATACAAAAATTTTCCATACTGATTGTTTTAGAAGTTTGCAAGGGTTCTGTTTTGCTTACTCATAAAAACACATTTATGTTGCTTATTAAATGGATTATGTGTCCTTGATGAATGTATGAGGCAAGAAAATTAATTTTTCATTTAATTTTATTTGCAACAAGCAAATCTCAAAACGGAAACTGAGCTCTAACCTTTTTCTCGACCCAAAATACATTATTGTTGTTATTATTAATAAACTTTTGTGGATTCTAAAAATATTTTAGTGACTTCTTGTTGCATATCGGTTAAAGGGATTGTTCCGTTGGGATTTATATCACTTGATGTGAGATGACTAAAAGGTTAATGTCATTTTTAGAGACCTTATAAATTAAACTCAACTTTAATTAATTTATAAAAATCAATCTAGTCCTGATTTAAATTCGAATGACTTTAACATTAAGGAATATTGATGTGCAAAATCAAAACATGTGTTTGGGAGTCATTAAAGCTGTTTCTTGTTTAACACAATAATTAACAATAATGTTAACAAACTCACAAGATTGACTTAATGATATCATTATGTAGAACCTAATGTACAAAATCTTATTGAATGTTTTCGAATATATTTTCCAAAAGTTTAAAACATTTTAGATTAAAATCAGATTTTTGATATTCAATTTCCTAACCCTTTTCTAATTTAGTGCTTATTTTCTTTTATCTATTAAATAAGTTAATGAGGTTAGGGATCGTTCACTTATGACGTCCGATATTAACGGTCATTTTTCAAAAAAGAACAATGGAATTCCAGGAATTTCTAAATGCAATTTCTTGCTGAACCCCCCCCCCCCCCCTGGACGTCATAAGTGAACAGTCCTTAGTTGGGTTGCTATTTGAAAAAGTATTATCAAGTTTTTAAAAATAAGTCAGCTGTGTTATTTAAAAATTTCCGTACATAACTTTTTCTGGGGATATCAAGATTAGAGTCTAATAAGTTATTTATTAATACAATAAAGAAGATAATCAGAGAAGTTTAGAGGACAAAATTTAATATGGGTTTTAAAATAAGATAAATGTGTGGAGCCTTAGGGAAGGTATAGATAGAAAACTTGAAATAAAAGTGTGCTTATAAACTGTATGCTACTTAATAGAGATGAAAAAAAAATCTATTTGAATTTGAAAACCTTTTTGAAAGTTATTGGCACAACAGCAGGGGGAAGGTTCTTTGATGGAAAACAAATGCTATTTTCAATCAAAAATTGGAATTTTCTCGCCATGCTTTTCATCAAACATTGAGAAATTATTTTTCCCCATCAAGTAGAGTTCCCCCTGAACAATAGACATGTACAAGTGTAAATTGAAGATTTTCATGTGCCAAAGAATTGTAGTTCCACCTTAAGACTATAAATATTCGATTAGATATTCAATTCATCATTAAATCATGTTGCTCAGAAATTTGTAACAAAACGGCGAATACATTAATCTGATCACAAAAAGTCATCTATTTATTAATTCACGACAATTTCCTCTATGAACAAGGAAAAAAGTTTACATTTCAACATTTAAATAATAAATTTACTTTTGTAAAATGCCATTACTTTTAGCTTCAGGTGGGATATCGCTTACAATTCTCATAATGTCACCAACATCGCAGCAAATTGTATATCCCTTTGAGTAATTTTTTCTCTCTTTCCAATTCCATCCATTCTCATCGCAAATGTCATTACATAAATTATTCACATTGGTAGCAAATGGATTGTTGTAAGTAGCGAAAGCAATTCCATTTTTATTTTGTGAATCCAAAACGACTTTCCATGACCATTTTGGCACTTCAAGTCCATCCGATGCGAGAGTAATTTTCTTATTGTTAAGCTTGAGAACATCAAATCCGCCTGTAAAGACAACCAAATCGTATTTCAATTGAGCAGCCTTTGACCTTACGACACTTTCGATGTGCTTCCAATTTCCATTATTTATAGACTGCCATTGAGGCACGACATTAATGTAATAGTAAGTGCTCCATTGCCATGACACAAAAATCATGTCACCGTCAGGTGCTAGATGCCCACGTGCCAAAAATGTCTTGTCTAGATACTCTGATGCTTTTTCAGCACTTCCAAAAATATCAGTGAATCTTTTCATTTGACTTGCTTTTGTGAATGAGCTTGCAACTTGAATATTTGTTGGAACTTCAACTGTTTTGAATGTTGATGGACGTTGACTTGATTTCATTGAATTCTTAATTGAATTTCCCTGTACGACATGTGCTGAATAAATCGCTGATGCTCTCTTTTTTGCATAACAAATATCAATAAGATTAACAAAACCTCGACCGTCGGTCAATTGAAATCCAATGTTTATGAATGCACCATCGCTGCCACATTTTCGATTCCTATTTAAAACATTTCCAGTAATTGATGCACTACATTCGTTGAATTCCGAAACTGTATATTGTTGATTGTTTATGTTGAATTTATTTCCTGATGAACAAATGATCGTTGCACTTTGTTTATTGTCTACAATAAATTAACAATGTGAAGCAATTATTTGTAATAACAATATGAGTAATGCATGTGCATGTCATATGCATTTTTATATGTGTTAAAGTGACATGACAAGTAAACAAACAAACGTAAAGTGCAATATGACACATATTGGTAAGTTAAAATAATATTATCATCATTATGTTGTTGATGAGCATAAGGTGGATGGTGTTAAGTGTCAATTGTAATTTACATGGGATGGGGCTGTGCACTTACACACAATAACGGTTCTTGTGTCATAAAAGCCAACAGATTTCTAGCTCCCATCTCATTTTTGTGCAATTTAAATGCTCTTTAAATCCACAATTTTAATTCAACTTACTAAATGTCAGGGAATTGGGTCTCGCCTCGGATGTACAAGCTATTAAAGCTGTTTCGCCTTTCTTGAATTTCAATTCACCATCATCTGGGACCATCAATTTGTATTGATCTCCAGAGTATTTCAAGATAACTGGCTCACGAATATTACTTGAAGATCTATTAAGATCTGTACGGATGTCGATTGTGCATTCTAAAATTAAATAGCAATTGATTTTTTCATTATTAATGATGAGTTATAGACCAAAATGATACATACGACATTGAATTTCATGAACTGAAATCGATAACAATATAATTAAGTTAAAAATTCTCCGACTATTGATGTTCATTTTTTAAACTCTGACTTACTACTGATATGAATAAATAATTTTTTTTCTCTCCTATATAGAATATTGAGTTGCTCTACTAGGCGTAAGTGTGAGCTAATAAAACAAGCAAATAAAGTAAATTGTGAGATTTCTGCTGAGAACGAATGAGTTTTGCTCAATTAAGTATTTTCTCCTTACAATAATCATCAACTCTCATTTTACTCGGCTCAATTAACCGATTATTTAATTTAATTGATGTTATTAGAGATCGACAATAAGCAGCTTCGTTCAAAAACAAGAGTTTGTTAATCCATGTTGAACGACATTTTTCAGATCAGCAAGTATCATTTTTTGGAGAGGATGGAGAAGAGGGGGGGGGGGGGGGGGTAGAGAGTTCTACTTTCTCTTCTTCTTTTCTAACTTTGTCTCTGGTTTTTGTTTTTAATTCATAAATTAACGACTAAACTTAGATCCAGGCTATTTTGAACCAGTTTGCACCCTTATCTAGGCCTTAAACAGTTTATTTGGTTCTCTTTGCTTTTCAGTCTTCTCATCACATTGATTGTGAGTCAAAACAAGCCCCTCATCAAGCACAAAATAAAAATTTTCAACTCATTAAAAGCAAAACAACCAAAAATTAATTCCTTAATGAAAGAAGATTAAAAACTTTGAGAACAAAAATTTCCAAACTTTAAGGTCGAAATAAAATAAGAAGAAAAAAACTTTTTCATGCCACATGTAAATAAATCAAAAGGCTTAAAAATGAAAAATATGTTTTCATAAATTATGCCTAAACGACCTAGCATTCTTAAGCTTTTTCTTGTTTAAAAATGTGCAAACAAAATTCCTAAATTAACCTTAAATAAAATGCCAAATGAAAATCTTTTTCGAAACTTTATAAGCTTGCTTCCGTTAATTTACTTACCGAAGCATTATAAGATTGTGAAAAAAAATTGTGGTAAGAAAAACGAGGCAGTTGTGACTTCATTTTGACCGATTTTATTTGCTCTGGTACTCTATATTATCTACCCGAATGGCACAAGCCCGTTAATCGAATAGAAATCCGGCACCAATGCGCTGGCATTGTGCTGGCTCCGTTTTGAATCCAGCACCATGCCAGAGTCACACTAGCTTGGTCCCGGATTTTATATTTATTAACCGACTTGTGCCTTTCGGGCTAATTATAGCAACAAGAGAACATATATAAGGGGCCGTCCATAAATGACGTTTATCAAATAAATTCGAGTTTTAGACCCCTTTGCTTCAATTTAATAAATTTTCAACATAAAAAACCTTTCTTAAAAGCTCGACGTCATTTATGAATGACTCCCCACCTGTGTGTTTATTTTTCTATGCTCCATATTCACCATGCTATGAGATAAGATGCGAAAAATTCCACTTTATGACCTTTTTGCAGCGAAAATATTTCATGAACACCCGCAAAATTTAAATTTTATGGGTAGGAGGAGGTTGGTCGATCTACGTTTATATTCCATTAAGATTAATGAAAATTTTTTGTGTGCCAATTTTAATTTTAATTCCCTGAAAAAAAAAATGTTTCTCTTTTGGCATTGTTGTTGTTGTTGGTGCTGCTGCTATCTCATCTTATTTCAGGTAATTGTTCATTAAAGTGGAAAAATAGCTTCGAGTTGAAATAGGTGTTCGAAGGGGCGGTGAAAGTGGAATAAATGAGAATCAGTGGATGAGAAAAAGAGGACATAGATTGTGGAGCATTTTTTTGTTGTTGTGAAATGAACATTAAATGATGTTTTTTTTTAAAAAAAATCTCTGAAATTCTTTTAGCGTAATACGAGATGAATGTGAAAATTAAGTCATTTTGTCTTATAGTCCATGACTTAATAGTGTCATAAAACTGAATGAAATGGACTTTATTATCTTAACAGTTCATCATAAACGTGCGCTAAAGTCACGAGTCACTTCAGCATCATTTTCATTTTTGTTCAACTTCGTCAGATAATTTTTTATTTTCACTGATGCTGCTTTGCTTATCCAGCCAACTGTCAGGTCAACAATTTTTTCTCTCTCTCACTCACTTTCCTCATAGTCAAAAATTAATTTTTTTTAACATATATATAAAATCTGAGATACACAAGAAGCAAGAAGAAGCAGTGAGAGGAAAAAATTTTAATTTCACGCATCATGAAACTTTTAAAATGCACTTTTGTTTCGACATTCAGCACTAAGTTTTATTCTCTCATCATTTTCATTTATTTTTTCTCTATGTTGCTGAATCTCCTTCACTGCTACTGCTTACCTCCTATCTCGCCATTATTTTTATGTTTGAAAAATTTTTCTCTCTAACAAATTTTTCAGTTGTTTTGTTTAGAAAGGACAATGAAAAATGTGAGGTGCAGATTTTCTGAAATTAAAACAATAGATTTTTAGTTTTTAGGGTTGGAATTTCTAGCTCTATGCAATGTTCAGAGTGTTTTAGGATGGAAGATGAAAGATATATTTTTTAAAAAATCTAGAATAAATTTTGCATAAAAATATTAAAGCATGATTTTTTGTAAGGGTTCGTTCACTTATGACGTCCATCAAAAAACCTGATTTTTAGACCCCCCTCCCCCCCTCTGTGACAAAAATTCTATAGAAAGAAATTTCCATTGTTTGAACTGTCACAAAATCTTAGACCCCCCCCCCCCCTAAATGTAGGACGTCATAAATGAACGGCCCCCAAAATAATGAAGATTATTTTTTTTTGTGTTTTGAAGGGGCAAAACAACATGATGGGAAAAGACCATATATTCTTATTGACTTGTGCGAAGATCTGAAAAATCTCATATTTAGATGGACATCATTAATGAACAACTTCTTATCAATAATAATAATATTTTTCTTACACGTTCTGACCTATTAATTTTCTCATTAACAAAATCTCCATAAGATTGCTAGTTACGTCAGTATCTTCTAGTAATCTGATTATTTTTCTAATCGAGAGAAAAGTGTTGAAGGTCAAAAAGGCCAGAAACTTCTCCTGTAGCAGTTTTTCTTATCAAATTTGATATTTTCATCCTTTTTTTCCTCATCCAGGGGTTTAACAACAGCTCCTCTGCTTTATTTCGAGGCTTGTCTGCCTCTTGAAACGCAACTGACCACATCCATTCCTTCTTTCATCCAAATGTAATCTCATATTTCCTTATTAAAACAAATGAAGACGCTTCTTCAAGTCTATTTCATTTTGAAGCAAAGCATGTATCTCGTACACAAGGGATTCACAAAAATTGTATAATAAGCAGCATGCAGATGAAAAGAGGATATGAAAAAATCAAAATTCGTAATCGCTATAATTTACATACAGATATCTCATTACGCTCGTCAATTTCTAAAATTGTCAATATCATGTATGAAATTTGTAGTTGAAGCTATCTACTGTTCACTTATTACTCTTGCCGTTGTTGCTATTACTCGTTTGTTTGTTGTCATGTTGTTATGATGATGCTCTAAATACATAATATGTGAATAAATATAATCAACATATAGTTAGATAATTTACAAAACAAATTTTCATTCTCATATCCCCCCCTAAAATTTCCGTAAATGCTCTCATCATTTGCTGCATACGATACAGGCAAAGCTTATAGTCAGGGAGAGGATTGGATTTTTTTTGTAGGGGAGGAAGGCTTTAAAATTCAAATTGATATCATTTATGCTCAATGTTGTTTGTTTGCTGTTGCTTTTAATCCCTATATGACGCAATCACTTCTGTAAATTGACTATTTCCATTTTGTATCTTCTACTTTTGGGAAAAATTTGACGCATCTCATTTTACGCGAGCTTGTAGATGTATAAGCACTTTATTATGCCTGCAAATAAAAATACATACCAATGTGCATAATGAAATCATTATAAATATTTTTTATGCAAATTTTATATTGTCATGTTATGAACATATTTTTTTCGACATTTTTAGTGCTGATTTAACAATTCATCATAAAGTTTTTTGATGTCTCTTGACACATGGGAGGTGACTGAAATTCGAGTTTGAGTCGGAAAGAGGTTCTGTTCATCTTCATTGATTGAAAATTACATAGAATTGTCTCAAAAAATTGTAACAAATTGAAGAGAGAACCGGGGGGTTGGGTAGGCAGGAACTTCCTTCTTCAAGATAAGAACTGCTTTAACTGGATTACAAAATGTGTACCTTCTTTTGTATAATTTAAAGGCGTACATATCAAATGTTACTATAGAAATATTGAATTCAAACCTTAGTTCCTATTTTGAATCATACGTAACCTTTTTTAAAACTCAACGTACCGTCAAATCCCCGAGAATCAATTAGTTTCTATTTTTAAATATATTTTTTTGACGACATTGTAGACTTTCTACTGAAATGAGAGCTGAATATTTTCCACATTAAAAATAATAACAAACAATGCACATTCGAATTGTTATTTTGGATTGTAAATTTTTTCCGTCTGTGGAAAATAAAGAAAAAGAAAATCATGGAAAAAATAATATTTTTGTAACATTGAGATCACAAGAATAAAAAAGTAATGAGATTATTTTGTTGTCTCTATTTTCATTATTCTTTGTTGCCATCGATCAGGCTTGAATACTAGACTTTCTTAAGGTCTAAATGGAGTGGATTCTAGAAGGCAATTACAATTGTGTTTAGGTATACATGTTATGGAGGGGGGGGGGGGGGGCGGGTAAAAAGGTAAAGCATGGAGAGGGCTTTGTCTGGAGCTGGAAGCACTGTTATTTAAATTAGAACAGAGTTTATTTCACCACACCCTTTAGACCTACAGTTTATAGTGGAATCCGAACCACTTGCAAGCTCAGTATATTGCAAAGACACGAGTACGTCTGTAGACCTGACGTGCCCTAGTCACAATTCGTGTGCGCAACATGCTGTAATGAAGGTAGTGAAGATACAAAGAATTCCCAGCTCTCTAGAGCTTTTAAAAGAAAAATGAATAGTGCGTCTTATCCGTGCATTTGTATGTATTTTCTTAGGCAAAAGAGAAACTTGTATCCAGCTCGATGGAAATAATAATGATAATAAAGTTGAAATTCGACTCTAATTTGATTTTCTTGTTCCTCATGCAATTTTTCTTCCTTTATAGCGTCGAGTCTGCTGTAAAACTTATTTCAGTGAAGGCTCTTCCGTCCTTAAGCTGTGAAGCAAAACGCGTGTTTGGCTTTTCCATCTTTTTCTTTAATTCATATTACTATAGTTACTTTTAATGAGCTTCAGAGAACGAAAGAAAAGAAATAAAAAGTTGTAAAATTTCATTTTTTTTCTTTCACTTTGAAATATATACAAGTAGCATAAACGTACAAAGGAGGCAGTAACAACAACATGAACATAAAATGACAATGGCCATTACGGGAAGGATATAAGCAACAGCAATTTTGAACATTGAAATGACTCTAATTTTACAGAAATGATGATGGTCGTCACACAAAATTAGCCACTAATTGAAATTGGATTCTCTGTCTTTTTTTCTTCCTTAGATCGTCTTTGTCTTTTTCTATTAGATTGCAGATACATTTTCCTTACTATCTTCCTTCCTTTATTTTTTTTTGCAAAAGATGTGCGTGGGAGAAAAGAAGCAATTGTAATCTCTAATGATACTCGAAATAAGAGAGATGTAGGAGGAAGAGATAAGATAACGAGTAAAAAATGTAATTTCATTTGCTGAAGTAATGGAACCTGAAAATTAGGAAAAATTACCAACCTTAAAGACTAGCTTCTGGATTTTTTTGATTTGAATGGTTAATGGTAGTGAAAATTGATTGATTTAAGGACAGCTATTCTTTTATTCTGGTATGTTTCGGGAGTCAATTGTTAACTGACCACCTTGCATGCTAATGAAATTCACAAAATTTTGCATGTTCAATTAATCGATTGCACTGATTCCCTCTCAAAATGAACATCCAATAATTTGCAATGCTCCATTAATTCTTATTGATATTTTTGGCGATTATTTCCTTAATATTCAGCATAATTTTTTAAAGATAAAAAACAAACAAATAAAAAACAAGGAAAATAAAGCAATTCATGCGGGAAATTTACATGAGAGAAAATTGCTGCTGCCGTTGCTTCTTTTATCTGTTTGCATTAAAATCACAAACATGAAAGCGGCAGCAATAACATCAACATAGACCTCCGTGTCCAAACAACACTTGTTTCCTGCTGAACTTCGTAAATTTCATGTATGAGTGGCGAGGCAAAAAAACACGAGAACAAAATTTCGACATAAAAAATTAAACAAAAATTCAGGTAGGAAATTGGAAATTAAAATGAGAAAAAAAAGAAAATCTCGAGTTTCACTTCATTTGTGCGTGCAATAAAAATGTTTTTATGTGTACAATGCGATTCCATTTCCAATCTCACAAAACATACATACACAATATTTTTTATGTTGCATGCTGCTGCTATTGCTGTTATACGCGCATGAAAGAATCAAATAAAGAACGAATAAAAGTTTTGGAGTTTTGTGAAAAGTGAGGAACTAAAAGCGCTTCTATTGACTACAATATCCGACAGTAAATACCTCGACATTAAACATTTCAATTTACTAGTTTCCATTGCAAAAGTCTTTAAAACAAAGAAATTGTTCAAGTCTGAAAATATGAGTGAAAACCATTCCAGTCAAGAAGAGAAAATGCAGGAATTCATGAATTGCTATGAAAAACGAGCAAGTAAATTAAAATTAAAATACAAATTGCTATTTTCTCACTCGAGAGAGTTTTTAGTGTCGCAAATTTGTACAATCTAAAAAGTTCTAGCAAAGAATTTATATTGAAAAATCTCACGACTTTGTAAAGCATATCAGATTGAATAGCTCCATCAAATATAGAAATATAAAGCTTTTACTCATTTGATGTGCATCAATTGAAATTGAAAAATTCCAGCATGGAAACAGAATTGTGTATGATTTGAATGCTTTGGAATGTAACATTTTAAATTCTTTCACAATACCTTGAAAATCAAAACTTTCATAAATGATCGATTTATATTTTATTTATTTTTCTACAATAAAATACATAACTCTTAATGGTACGACATATAAATCATCCTTTTTTAAGGACATTATTTCACTTATCTGATCTTTCAAAAACTTTTTTTGGACAAAGTCTGGCATCGAATTGAAACATGGATTGACAGTCTCTAACATTTCTAGAAACAATAATAAATTTATTCATCTAAAATTATTAAGCCAGAAGAGATTTACTTACTTGAATATTTTTGTAAGTTTCTAAATTCAAATTTTTCATTTTTTACATCATGAAATTTGATAATCTTAAATTTACAATCTTGCAAATATTTTATTAAAATTTCATTTGCATTTTCAAGAGACCACAAAGGTGTAAAATGCTGTCTCCAATCGTTCATGTACAAAGGATATTTTATTGCCAAAGCATCCCAAATGTCATTTATTTTTGTTGATTGAAGGAATGTACAGCAAAATATTCCATTGGAATTTAATAACTCATAAATATTTTCGAATACATTCTTTATATCTTTTATCCAATGAAGACAGTAGAATGATGTAACCATATCAAATTGTTGATCTCTTAAAATTTTCGGAATTTCTTCTTCAATATCCATAAGGCAGAAAGATATCAAATCATTTTCATAATTTTTGACTGCAAACTTTAACATTTCATTACTTTTGTCGATTCCAATGATTTTGCTAAAATTCAATTTACTTCTATTAAAAGTTATTTCAGACAACACTTTACCACATCCACTTCCAATGTCTAATAAATTAATTTTCTTAGTTTGGAATTTAAATTTCAAAAAATCACCGAAAATATCAAAGAATTTTAAAGCACCAGCAATTTGCTGAGAATTTGTCTCTGCATACACCTGAGCTCTATTCATTGTTGCTGCTTTAATCAGATGTAAAAGATAAACTGATTGTCATTTTATAGACAGAATGATTTTGAAAGATTTTTGTTCTTTTTACTATTTTTTTTTTATAAATTCTTGTGAATCGAAGCTTTAACCAGCTATATCTGGTTTTTAATATTTTGTAAATGACAATTTGTGTTTTTTAAGGTTCTAGAAACTTCAATGATTTAAATTAAATACTCTACGCATCTTATGAATGAACCAGTTTTAAAAAAACAACTGTTTTAATTTATTAATCTTTAAAAAAACAACCGTTTTGAAGATTTTATTATTTGAATGTTTACTTTAAGGTTTCAGTTCTCTACATGTTTTAAGCGCATTTTTGAAACTTGTTTTGAAAGGGTAGTTTAATATTTCACTTTGTTCGTTCGTTTGTTCGTTCGTCTCCAGAAAAACTTTTTATCCAGACATCGTACAAAGCTCGGGTTTGTTTTATTAGTTCTGTTACTATCGATTTATCGGCCCATCGAATGGTTAAAATTCTTCAAACCATGTACTTATGCTTTAATTAATGATTTTTTTAATTCACAACAAAACCAAGTGATGAGTAAGTTTAAATATTTGAATTTTTTTCTACCACTTTATAAGTTGTTAAGGGTATGTTCAGAAATTCAAAATTATTTCTACCATTAAAGTATTTGAATTTTAAAAGCCGTTAAAGGACAAAAAACTTTTTGCTGTGCATACCTAATGTTTAATATTTTTTGAAAAACAACGAATATGCTTTGATAAAGGCAAAATTTTATCAAATACTGATCGCTGCGTCAAAAATGCGCTGAAGTTCCTCGATAAATAACACGAGGACTTTTGTAATTTTTTTTATTAAAATGTTGTGATTGTTAAAATAATCTTGTGATAAAAAGCATAATGAGTGTAGCCGGGCGATGAATGAGGGTCTGTGGCTGTTTTCAAATGTTACATATTTTAGACGTATGATTAAAAATTTACTTTAACTAGAGTAAATGTTCCGGTTAGCTTTAGAAATTGTTCCCTGAATCCGTTCCTTCTATATCAGTGTTGTACATACTTTTTGAGCCTCGACGCACCTTAGGGGTAAGCCATCACTAGATCGGACACAGTATGCAACTCGTATCATTTCCAAAAAATTCCTACAGCACACTAGTGTACCGCGGCACACTAAATGAAACATTTTTGTGGACCGATAAAGAAGCAAAATTAATGTGGTCAGATATCATCTAGTTTATTTTTGACTCCTGAGTAGCATCTTAATTAAGCATTACAAAATAATTTCCACCTGCTAAGGAGCAACATGAACTTTTTCCATTCAATTTAAGTTTTTTTAAAAAAAATTGCTTTATATTTCCCTCTAACCTTTACCATCGACAGCACTTCATGCAATGAAAGTATTAAATGAATTTTCCTACATCCTTTTTTTCAATAAACAGGCATTTAATAATACCAACAATGTAGAACAATTTTTTTATAACATAAATGTATAATAGCAATAAATTGAAATATGAGTAGCAAACACACATAGTATCGTGCTTCAGATTAATCAATAAACAAAGAATTTCAATAATTTTTTTTATATTTCACACGCTGTTCAGTTAATATGCTTCAATCATATTTGTTTGTATGATGTATATGCATATAGAGCAAGCATCACCATCAGTGAGAAGAACATTAATATAACAACACACGCGATGTACGATATATTGTGTGAAAAATCAATTAATAAGTTTAACAATTTCGCATGAGTGAATAATGAAAATGTTTGCAAAGCTTTCAATTCATACCAATGTGGCATAAATATGAAAGAGCTTTTAATGCAATTAGCGATGATGAATATTGAAAATTTATTTTAAAAAAAAGGCGTAATTGATTGCATCTGGAATGCTTTTATAGCAGGTATTGAAAAAATAATATTTAATAATGAGGGACAAAGCTTAGAGCTCACTCGAAATGAGTTTCAAAATCTTGGTACGAAAAAAAAAGGTGAATGCAATCAGAAGCTTTTGTCGCATGAATAAACTTTTATACGTGATGCATAGATTAATAATAGTTCAATTGGGTTTATGGAAAACTATTAAAAAGGTGCAAAAAGAAGAGATTTCGTTTAAGGGTTAAAATTGCCAATGGCATCGAAATATGATAAATATGATGATGGAGATGGCAAAAGAGTTGAAAAAGGAAGAAAAAATCCCTCCAAGCGAGCGAATATTGCATTCTCAATCCTCCTTATATGTCTTTTTTTTTTATTTGAGCAAATATGCATGAACATATTCGATGCTCACATGCTCACATGCTTGCACATATTGATAGTTTTTTTTTATGTTGGCGAAAATTGTCGTCGATGATAAAAATAAAAGTTTTTCTCTTTTTGAAAATTTTTTTTCCTGTTCAATTGCAATAAAACAGATTTGCATGCACCAAAAAAAAAAAATAGTATACATATAGGAACACACAATATGCATTTGATTATGCAATAATCGTGAGAGAAATAGCTTGCAATTAATTTTTTATGCTATCAATTTCGTGTTTTTTAATATAAATGAAAGTTTTATCATTTTATAGATAAGGAGGAATTTTAGGGATTTACACAGTTCAGTTGTGTGGCTAGAAAGGGGGGGGGGGGGGGGGGGGGGGGAGGTTCAAAAAAGAATCCACAACATTTTTAAAATAAAAACCAATTTTATTAAATGGGAATGTTTGAACACCCAAGAACACCCTCTCACTACATCCCGTGATGTACACATTCAGCCTGGAATGCATTTAGAGAATTTATAAAATTGAGGTTAGTTTTAAAATAGTCTTGAAGAATGTTTTTGTAGATGGCGCGGGCGACTCAAGAACTCTTTGTAAGAAGCTGTTGACAGAGACAGTATTGCATTTGGTATAGGTAATTGGCAAACGGTAAGCCCAGCAATAGAGCCTGCTTCAGGCGACATCTAAGGGAGGCTATGAATCACAATTGATCTGTACGGCCAGCGAAGTAAGAAAGTGAGAGGTTAATTTTGATGAATTTTGCAACTCAAAACTTTTTATATAGCTATAAATGAAAATGTTACATCAGTATCAGTTATTGCAGAGCAGTTAATAAAATTTAGTCTTTCGGTCTCAATAATTAAGCATAACATTTTTATTGGAGATATATTTCCATATTCAAACAATCGTTCTCACCGCCTCGTTTGTTAAAATCTCTCTTTAGAGCACTTAAAATTTTTATTTCATTCATTATCATGACTATCAACTATAAAAATCAAATAAACACATAAAATATTCAGCATAGATATGTATATACACACAAATTCATTCGCAGACTTGCTCAAATAAATGCAATATAAAAATCAAATTTAATCGATAAAAAAATAGCGGAAATAAAAATCTGCTTTTATGTTATCAAATAAATATTCAAAAAATATGTCGCGAGCAAAAATCGAAAAAAAAGGTTTATAGTGAGTGTGGATGTGCGGGAGAGTAGAAAAAAAATATCGCGACAAGAAACATGGGAGATAAAAATTATAAAAGATATGTCGTAGCGCTCCATGAGTGAGCATCATAAATTTTATTAATGTTATTTCTAAGCTTCTTTTTAGCAACAACATAAATTGGATTTATGTATGATGAAAGGATTTTGAGCCTAATCGGAGGTCTCAAAAGATTAGCATTAAGACTTGTTATTTTACTGCTTTTTGAAAATTAATAATCAGCAAAATGTGAAGGAAGTTGATACTTTTATGAAAAAATTGCTTTCAAAAATTTAACCCGATCGGCACACATTGATAGGTGACCGCTTGGTTTAAATTATACTATATGCCCAGCTGCGTGGTGATAAAGCTAGAAAAAACTAGAGGCGTAGCTAGAAACGTTTGTAAGTTTGCAGAGCTCCTCTGTGGGTCAAATTGAAATAGTTCTTGAATATTAATGATAAATCAGATCTAAACGACATAATAGAATTGCTAATAGATCTGTAGCCACAACTTCAACATAATCCAATAATACAATATCATTCACAAGAAGTATTACACACTAGAATTAGTCAATGAGATTGTTGCTCATGATAAGAATAAATTATGCAGAAAACAATCTCTAAACTACTCCTAAGTTTATATTCTCTATTATGTCTATAATTTATATACAAGAAGCAATGAGCAATTTGATATAGACAAAAATGTTTATATCGACATTAAATATATATTTTTTTTACATGCATGAATATGTTTGTTCAATAGATAAAAGTTCAATAATAAAAATGTGAAATTTATTGCGGTACATAAATAAAAGTATAGTTTTCTGAAATAATATTTAGAGTTCACATAAAAATATGCAATGAAAAATATTTACGAAATAGATACGCCGAAATTTTATTTAAAAAAATATTATTTCAGCTATGGCAGGAGCGTACCTAGGAATTTGAAGAGGGGGGGGGGGGTCAGAATGATTTTTTATATGGAAAATTGGGGGGTCATTAAAACCCTAGAAAAATGAAGAAACTTCTGTTATTTGTCACCCAAAATCTATGGGATCGAAGCTATGGGGTCGATCATAAATGACGTTCACCAAAAACTTAGGTTTAAACCCCCACCAACCCTCCTTGTCACATATTTGTATGCGGAAAAATTTCTTTTTATTCGAAAATTCTTGGAAAATTCACAAAACTCGCGAAATATTTACCGTCTTTTATGAACAGCCCCCTTTACAATTTCTTATTCCAAATTTATTTGATTTTCTTCCCGGATTATTATTAGTATTAAACTTTTAAAGGTTTTAATGCTTCATTATTAAATTTGTACAAAAAAAATCATTCGCATTTTTCCAGTTCATTTACATTTATTTTCGTTATCCTTAATTTCCTTCCTTCGATAAAAATGAACCCAACTTTGCGCCATTCCATTCGCATTATCTTGATCAATTACAAACTTGTAAGTTTTAATTTTTCCTTCTTTTTTCCCCCTCAACAATCCACATTCAAATGGTCGAATTGAATTTGTAAAGATTTTCATTCTCAGTATTGTGCCGTTGTTCTGTTGCTGTTACTTAAAAGGGAAGTGTTAATCCCACTCGGCATATACTTTTTTTTTCGACAAATGGAGTCTACACACGCAAATTATTTGTATGTTTCTTTGATTGCAATCAGAATTGAACAAGAAATGTAGAACGAAGAAAAATTATCGCAAATTGTATACAGTCCTCATGGGAGTATGTTAAATTCTAGGTTTAGAACACCTTTACTTGGAATTATTTTTTTTTTACAATTATCGAAGTAATGAATGGAATTAAAAAATAAACTTTTGATCCTCAGTTCCTTCAGCTTTTTCATTTAACATTTCGTTTTATGAGTTTTGAAGTTTCTACCCTTAAAAAGTAAAACTCATGTATGTACGTATGTAAACTGAGAGTCTCGTTGAACTTTTTTTTGATTCTTATTTTTGCTATCATGACTGGCTTGCTGGCAGGCGGAATTTTTTTCCAAATGCAATAAATTTTCATTTAACTTTTTCTCTCTCTCTGGTGTTGTTTTTTTGTTCTTATTCCTATATTCTGCCATTGTTGTCTGCATATGTGCGTTATACATGTAAATAAATAGATTTTTCAGACATAGCAACTCACATGAGCAATGTTCATGAGTTTATTAAATTAAAAGTCCCGGATGTTAGATGAAATGTTAGACAAAGTGAATGCACTGTTGTTATTGCTGTTTGGGACTACATAATACATCATGCTATACACACTATTTGCTGTGAGTTATTTTTCATACTCACTCAATTTTTTTTTGTCTATGTGGATATACGATTGTGAGTTTTGGTTGATATTGCTTTCAGAGATTTTTGGTGAATGGGAATTCTCGCAATGATACTAATATGGTTGAGAAGGGATGAACCCAAGGGGGGGGGGGGCTGCTCTATAACTTGTTTATATAATTGTATTTTCGAAAAATGTCTTTATTTTACTTAAGTTTTTCATGAAAAATGTCCTTCCTATTACTTTACTGATGGTTCGTAAATGACGTACACAATACATGAGATTTTGATATCCCTCAAGAGATGTACATCATTTATGAACGGCTCCGTGAACCAACCTCTAGTCAACAATACTATTTTATACTTTTCAAACATTTTTAAAAAATCTCAATAGAATTCTTTTAGAGCTTTTCCTATTTTTTTATGCCTCACAAAAATTTGATTGAGTGAAAAACAAAATGTTCAGCTTTTAAATTTTCATAACTTTTTGATTTTTAAAAAAAAATCTTTAAAAAATTTCATAAATGAATTCATCGACATTTTGAGCATTTATGATGTAATAAAATTTAAATTGCTTTGGGATCGTTCGCTTATGACGTCCAACATTTAGGGGGGGGGGGGGGGTCTAAAAATTTTGACACATTGTGACAGGGGTGAGAGGGGGTAAGAAAATTTTGTGACATTCAATTTTTTTCTGAGAAAATTGTATTATTTGTGTGTGTGTGGGGGGGGGGGGGGTATTGACATCTGTCAACAGTTTTGTCACAGAAAGGGTGAGAGGGGTCTAAAAATATTATTTTTTGCTCGACGTCATAATTGAACGGCTCCTTATTTAGAAATTGAAAATCGCTGAAATTTATTTGATTTTGAAATTCCAACTAGACATTATGATTTAATCTTTACCTTCTATTTCTTGTAACTTAAATAAGAACACATTTAACATCACAATTTCTTTAATTTTCACAGCCGTTTGTAGTGGTCAGAAGCAAGAACAAGAGGATCCATGTAAAGTCAAGGGACGTGTTGTTGGCGATACAAAATATTGTGATCGTTATTGGGAATGTGCTGACGGAGAACCTATATTATACGATTGTCCAAATGGATTGGTGTTTGCCGGAAAGAATCGTGGTGTAACGGAAGGATGTGATTACCCATGGCGAGCACCTTATTGTGTTGGAAAGCAGACAGCGAGTAAGTTTGTCATTTGCATTTATTATCATATCAAACATCATTTTATTGTGACTAAAGTATGCAGCGTTGAGCTATTTAAAATGTTACTGCTTCTGCAGGGGTCGTTCATAAATGCCGTCAATCAAAAATATTATTTTTAAACTTTTCTCATTTTTTGGAAATTGTCCCTACCTCGCCAAAAAATTAGACATCATTTATGAACGACCCCCATGCTCAATACAACCACAGAATGAGTTCTCAAACTAAAGAAAAAAGTGTTAAAAAAGCTACCGATTAAATTATAAAGTACTCCTTACAAAAACAGAAAAAGTTTTTCATTTAACTTTATATTAAAAAAGTTAAACATGAATTTGGTTCCTGTACTCTTCATTCTCATTCATTTCCTATTTTTTTATAATCCAATTTTTATTATTTTCATAACTTGTATAGTTAAGTTATTAGCAATTGTGTAAAAGAGGAGAGACGTTTTGCTTGAATAGAGATAATTATAGCTTCCAACATAGACGGTCTAGTAAAATACAGCAATTTGATCTAGAGTTTGAATTTCTAGAAATAAAAATGCGCAATAATATTCAGAAAGAATTTTAATTAAACTTGTAGATTCACACACGAACAAGTTTTGATGATAAGATTAACTTTTACTTCCTTCGTCTTTTAATTCATCAATTTTTTTTTTTCATCTTTTCAAAAATAAAAGTAAACGAATTAAAACTTTTTAATTTAAAAGCCAAGCAAAAGATTTAAAAGACTTCAAAATTAGCTGAATGAAAATTCTTCAACTGAACATAATATTTCAAAGTAATTATCAAGAATTATTCTCTATATAATTTTTTTTGAAGTCCTACATGAAAATTATCGTGTATTAAAAAGAATTTTAGCTCAATTTATTTGAAGATGAAAAGTTTGGTCATTAAATTATTCATATAAATTTGTATAGAATTATTAAATTAAGCATCATCATGAGCATAGTCAGGATTTAATACAAACTGATTTTCCATACTCTTGGTCAACGTCCCATACCCGATTTTTGACGTGACATGTTTGGCTAACGAGCCCCTGACTACACCCCTGACAGCCATACTAATATTCCAATTAATTTCCACATTACATCTAGATGGTCCAATATCCAACGAACATTGTGACTGGTTATATGGAATTTTCGGACATGAGACATCATGTACTCGTTACTGGACATGCTGGAATGGAACTGCAACTGAACAATTGTGCATTGGAGGATTACTGTATAATGAACAAGCTCATAGCTGTGATTGGCCCGATGTAAGTAATTTTTGATTCTCCTTTTAAACCACATCAAGTGGAAAAACTTTTCAGAGGAACTAGAACAAAGACAATATTCTTTAATTAGATCCTAAGATTATTAATGACTCACATAAAAGTTATGTCAGTTCCCTTTTATCTTTGCAAAAAAAAAAGTTAACTATTTAATAAATTTTCATTAAAATTTTTTATTTTATTTCCAACAATTCATTACAGAATGTCGAGGGATGTCAGAAGCATCGTAAGTAGAATTTAATTTTGCTACATTTAAAATTACTCATCATCATTATTCGTATGCTTGACATATTCATATTGCATGTCAAGTGAATTTAATATGTGCATATGAAGAACACAAGACAGACATGAATATTTTTTTTGTGTCTGTGGCTTTTTTTTATGATGATAAAATTTTCCCTTCTTTATTTTAAATTAATATCATGGGAAATTAGCGACGACGACGACGACAATGTTGTGATGAAATGAGCAAATTTTCTTTCTTTTCTTTTGTTGATGCATAAAAAGCTAAGTAAGGAAATCCTGACCCGAGCTACTAAAATGACAAAAAGTTCAAAATGGATCTATCATGGTGACGTCTACATGCCATTCCATTTGTTCTCAAAGCAGGAACTGTGATTAAGCTCTGAATTGAAGTTCTTCCCATCTAAATTGATGCTAATTTCCCATCATGTTGTTTTCTCCTCGAGCTTTTACCTTTTTCGTTGCTTGGATAATATATTGTGTCTGATAGCTATTTCCTTAAATATTCAAGAGTTTAGATTTATCAACTTACTTCCTATATCTCTTGAAACATCATGTCAAATGCATCATGACTTTTCATTACAGCACTCTGCAATGAAGATGCAAATGGAAATGTTGCATTAGGGAAATCGTGCAATCGTTATTGGAACTGTCAAGGCGGATATCCTCGTTTACAACGTTGTCCCGCTCAATTGGTATTCGATAGGCATTCACTTAGATGTGTAGTACCACCCACTGAAGATTGTGACATTCCACCTACACCAGCACCAGAACAACAAGAGGAAGGACGTGTAAGAAATTAAATAAATTGCCGTAAAACCTTATTTTCAAGAAAATTTAATTTTATTTTCAGAGATTTAACGATATTGCTGAAGGCGATGGTCAGTTACCACCACAAGAATTTCGTCCACAACAGCAACAACAGAAGAATGTGGGTCGCACAAGGAATTAATTAAACTTTCTAGAGTTTTCTCTTCATTTCCGTATTGCACTTTCCGTCCTTTATTTCCTTCCGATGTTTACATTGCATTTATTACATCCTGCAACAATCACATCCATTATTCTGTCATTTCATTTCCTCATTAGAAGTAAGGATGAAAGTTCTTCCAAGCGATTAAATTTTTTATTAGATTTTTTTTTTTGTTTTTATTTTTCTTTTTGAATTGTAACTTAAATTTAAGCGAATGTAACTTTTGAATTGTCAATAAAATAATTTTAAAAAATAGAAAGAAATCAATATTTTCTGAGGATGTGAATATCTTAGTTTGGTTTGTTTGATTTGCTTGTGAAAATTTGCAGAGTTGGAACCAGATCCATTAAAGGGAGCCAAAAAAATATGGATGAGGTAGGTTTTATTTAAATATACCTTATAAAATGAAATAAATTAAGATAACTGATTAGAAACTTAACTTACCCTAGTTGCACGCCTGGCTGTCATTCATCAAAATTTATTCAACTCTTTGAAAGATAAATTTACATCCCTTTTGTCTTAAAATGTATTCACAGAAAAATTGCATTTTTCCTATCGAGCTTCCTTCCTTCCATCTCCCTTACAATAAATAATCGTCTTTGTTCTTTTTCTCATTTTATTTAAAGACAAATACAAATAAGTAAAACATTTTACTTTATGTGATTTATTGTAGATAATTTAACATATTTATGCAAACACATTATCACATACGTACATACAAAATGTAGAAATGTATGCAAACATAAAAAGCATTCAGTTTATTGTGTATATAAAATAAATTTCTTTTCGCATCCCTTTTGTTGGGGGGAAAATGAAAATGAAGTTAAAATGAATGGAAAAAGTTTCCTTCTTTCATCACCACAGTCATCTCCATGTACAGTCATGTGGAATAAATATTTTTAGGGAATAAAGAAAGTGGCAGAAAAGCCTCAGCTAAATGATGATTAAAGTGCATTTTTAAAGCAGCATTCAGCTTCATTACACACGGTTGAATTATTCTTGAGTTTTAAGTTAATGGATGATTAAGCTCATTAAGGAGGGATTTGTTTAAAAGCTAGCACCATTGACCATTAAGTTGCTGTGTGACAATTTAAATGAAAAATGTTTAATAAAGAGGAATGAAGTGTGTCCAAAAATTTCAAGTTTTACTAATAGGGTTGGTAAGTTAGTGGTCTCAGACATAACTTCTACAGAAAATTTCTGTAAGGAATTCAAAAGAAGATAAAAGTTAATTTTTTTACCGTTGATATCAACGCTCCCTCTTGCATGGGCTTAGTGAAAATTCAAACTATGTGCCTGTCGTTGGTTCTTTTGGTCTCCCCGATTTGTAGATCTCCCAATAACTGCCATATGTTAATACATAATGTAAAACAAGTCGGCTTCGATGAGAATCAAACCCACGATCTTGAAAGACCACTCGATCAGAGATCCCTGCCACTCGGCTACCCAGGTACTTATCTCACTTCAGCTATCTGCCATACACATATACCCAGTTTCAACGCGAGCCCTATGCTCATACCTAACTACTACAGATATGCTCTTTGATCCATATCCACACCGATGTAACTATTTCGGAATTAAAAATTTATATCCAATACCTAGACATAGATATAAACAAAATTTAATGTAACTGAGCTAATGTTCCTTGAGTAGCTTCACAAAACCTTCTTAAACTTAAGAATGAATATGATTCTGTTGCTTTATCCAACATAGTAGATATCAAAATCCAAATCAGAAGTAATAAAAGCTCATTTTCCACCCAAACGAGTTTCACACACAAAACTTCTTCTGTGTGCAATTTTCATTCACAATTTTATTTATATTTGATTTCCTACAACCGCTTCTTCTCCAACTTCCTTATTCTTTCTTTTGGGGATCTGCTGATGTTTGTTAATTTCGAAACTTTTGATATATGCATGTTTCTCCTCACACACATATACTACCAATGCAAACAAACAAACTGCAAAGCTCTCATTTTGGCCTACCTCAAGAAGTGAAATAGAATGTGAATGTTGCTACTCCTTCTTTCTTTCATGAAAGCAGAAATCATCAACAAAGAGAAAGTTTTTTTTTGAGGACAAATTTATTCTCAAAATAGCAATTTTATGTGCTATAAAAAGACGAGAAAAGTTTTTTTGTGGGAAGTTGAAAATAAATTTTAAGTTTTCAGAATGAGCTTATTTGGAATTATTTTACCAATTAATGAATTAGGTGACAGAAATTATGTTTTTGACGGAAGTTTGAAGTTGCTTATTTATTTTATGAATTTTACAGTATCTCAAAGGAGGTAGCCTTCAAGGTTTTATGTTAGTCAACGATTCAGTGCTTTAAAAAAAAAATCAGAATAAAGAAAGACATTTTTTACTTTAATTATAAATGCTGCTTTCGGCTTTAAACTTCCTCCATGTTGTCTCCACATACTAGTAGTGTGCTGCAGAATCTACTGATATTTTTGAAATTCATTTTTATTAATAAAACTTTTGCATTCCTGTTTCATATGCAAGGGAACATAATTTCAGAATATTCATAATTCATTAGGAAGTTCCAGTGTTACTTTATTCATTTATTGAGGGGATGATTGTTAAGTATGTGTGACGGGTAGGTTGACGGGTGTTCTGAAACTTTTTTGAGCAACTTTATAAATGAGCAGCTCCTAATACTATAGTTAAGTTTTAAGGCATTAAAGACTTAAATGAAGCTAAACTCTGTTGATACCAGTTCAACTAGTCTTCATCCCTTGTAATTAAGTAAAAGTTTTTCATTTTCACAATTGCGCGACTCGAAATGAATAAGTAACAAAGTACGTAGCCAAATCCATTGCAGCAAATGAATAAACAAGTAAGTACATTTAAGTATATGTGAATTAAAAAAGCTTATAAAGTTCAAGAAAAAAAAAGTTTATTTTGAAATAAATAATAAAGTTTGTATTAAGCACAAGTTCATAATAATCATTATGAAAGATATTTTCCTTACCCACTCTCATATACATATGTGCATGAATAAGAAATTGCATTAAAATTATTTTAAAATTCAAAAAGATAAGGAATAAGTGAAACATTTTTTGCCATAAGTAATAAGATCTTTCTTATTCATATAAATATTATATTAGCAAACTCACTCATACATTCATTTATTCATTCATTCCATTCATTCATTCATCATATCATCATACAGTATAAGCATAATATGCATAATGATATTGAAGCAGTTTGGTAGCTTTTGACAAGAAAGATCTAAAGTTTTACTTTTGTCGAATATGATCTCAAAAAATTGGAGTCTTCATTACACTGTTGATCGTGTTGCCGATCGCGTGGCGCCATATCTGAAGCGTGAGATGCTATAATATTTTCTTGTAACTAGATTTTACGGTGTAAAAAGTGCAGTTTTGGTGTTTGTCGTAAGTTTGAGAATTTCGAGAATTTCAAAAATATCATCCAATATTTTTAAGGAACCAATTTTGTGCCGAAAATCCTAGGATCGTTTTCACTAAAGTGGATAATTCTCGTTTTTGGATCATCCACCCTAATTTTGGGATTATCCTGGGATTAGTGTTTGTATTCGTTGGACTTGGGGTTTGTAGTGATGTAAAGCAAGTCGCATTTGAAAGGAATCGAACCTGATTTCTTAAAAGAAGTAACCTTGACTGCTCGATTAAAGATCTCTGCCAATCGACCGCAGAGGTCCTTTGGCTTAATTGGGCAAATCAGTATAAATATACAACAATTTACACTGCTAGTCAAGGGTACGGAACTGATGAAATGATCAAAAATTTAAAAAAGAGGGGGGGGGGGGTGGCGGCAGTAAAATGTCACTTTTGATAAAAAAATCATTTGGAAATGCGTCATAATTGAAATTATTTCTTATAAAGTGACTTTAGCACTTTTTATTATTTTTAAACATTTCAAAAAATTCGAAACAAAGACAAATTAAATTTTTTTCTTTAATTTTACATATGAATTTTTCTCATACTCTTACTGTATACTGCATATTTTCATACTTAAAAAAATTATCATCGTCATATTATGAAAATTTATGGTTATCAACAAAATAAGAGAGAAAAGAGTTGCGAGTAATTTATGAATATGCAAATATACTTTATCTACAATACTTCGTGCATCATTATTATTATTATCATCATCAGATGCAATACAACATTCATTCATAAAAATTGCAAAATACCCCGGAAGATAATTTTCCACCCTCAAAAAAGTTTTTTCCATTTAATGTAAAATTATTATTTTTTTACCAACTATAAAAATGATCAGAAAAATTAACAATAATGATAATATGGATATGTCTTTCTGAATATTTTTTTAATTTAATTTAATTTAATTTATTAATCTCTTTTGCATTGCTCCTAAGGGAATATTTATGTGGAAATATTAACATGCATGCTCATGAACAACTTTTTTAATGTATGACTATGTTCAGTTCTTTATTATTTTTTTGACTCCAGCTTCTGTTATTGTTACTGGTATTAAGTTGGACATTATTATAATTTTTATAATGGATTTTTTGGGGGTTTTTATTAAAATTTTCAACCGAAATTAAAGTGAACATTTATGGGGTTCTACACTTTTATATTTTTTGAAGCATTAACATGAAATAAAGCTTTGATAGGAGGCAAAGCTACAAAGCTCTAAATTGATCATTTCATATTTTGGGTGTGCAGGGGTCTGTCATTAGGTCATATTCCAATGCTGAAGGAGGAAAAGGTCTGAAATTCCATATTTCTGATGAATAAAACATTACATAGCAATGGCAATGGTGCAGAAGTAAAAAAGAAATTAAAAATATATTCAATTTCAATCTTGTCACTTGAATGAGTCGAAAATTGCTATTTAAACATTTAAATGTGAAAAGTTTTTTCCGTTCTTCTTTATGCATAATAAAAGTTCAACAATGATAATAATTTGGTGTATGTGGATGGGTTCCTACTTCCTTAGATAGCTAATTTGTTTGGAAAAGAGTGCTTTAATCTAGTATTTGTGGAAAGTCTTTGTGATTTAATTACAATACTAGATTTATAATTACAAACAAATTTAAATTTTTACATCATTTTACAACATTTAAAAAAACACAAAAAAGTCAAGAAAAAAAAATATTATAAAAAAATTCAAAAATTTTTTTGAAAAAATAAAA